GAATCCAACTGTCTCTACTCATTTGTGAGGATTACAGTTTGGCCTAGCTTCCAAAGCTGTCATAACATAGTTGAGTCAACATTTAGGATCCTTTTAAATTATATTAAATATTAAGGATAAGGATTATATCATCATCATCATCATCATATCACCATCATCCTGGCTTCTGGGGCATTTCTGTCTCTCACCATGCATGCCTAACTTGTTACTCAGGCATAGCAATGGAACAGGAAGAATTGGACAAAAAAAAAAACAGAAGTAGAATTGATCCCTTGAGATGATTAAAAATGTCATCAAAGCATCTAGACAGCCAAAACTTTAAGCACACAATCTTTCGTACAGCACTGGTTCTTCCACTTCTTGCTTCACTCTCTGGAGCCTACGTCTGCCTCCAGAAAAGAGATTAAAAGTAATTCTACGCCAAATCATGTCTGGAGAGAACTGGGTTGTTTGCTGCTAGCACATCCATGGAAGGATGAACACTTAAGTCAAAACGAAATCCACCTATGATTTGCCCTTCTCAGGGAAACAAAATATGGCGGGAACAGATGGAGATGGCATTTCTTTTCTAACATTTATAAAGTGGCTGGGGGGAATTTTTTTAAATCCGTTTAAGCTTAAAAAAAAAAACCTTTGCAATTATAGCAGCACCTGCCTCATGGAAGAGCAGAGATTTCATCCTGGTGCCTCCTAAAAGGAAGAGAAAAGAACCTTTGGCTACACAAGAAATTAATTTAAAAACTAAATCCAATTGTATTTCTAGTAAAATTCTGATGAGATTTTTCTAGAGGTTTTTAAAAAAAATTAAAAAACAACAACCCTGAGATCTATCTTCTGTACCAAGATAGATCTCAATGATTGAGACAGTTTGATAATGATTGGTCTCTTGATCATCAGGCAGCAAAACAGAAATGTTTGTTTTTGTCCATATCTTCTTTCTTTCACTCCTCCATCTTTCTGTTAAGTCACAAATGGTTAAGAATGGAGCAAAGGAGAACCCGGGCTAGTAAAACAGCTTAGTGTTGATCACTTTAGCATTCTTGACATAAGAAAGAAAAAACAGCTACAAAATGGCCACGATTTTGCAATGCAAAGGTTATTTTGGGGCAACTGTTGGATAGGCTCATATGTTGTACCAAGCCGTAATGTGACTGGAGGCTTTGGCTTAAAATAATACAATGAAAATTAAAAGATAACACACAAATAAATACTAGGTGTGCAATCTTCTTTATAGCATTAAATATTGCTAATCTAGTATGGTTGGAACGTAAACATGGTGGCGCAACAGCCTACTTTGGTAGTAATCCTTATGTAATATCTTAGCCCATCAGCAAAGCCCAAACTGGCCAGGCTATGCTTTCTGCCCCCAATTCCTAAAAGGTGAAAGAAATGGAGAATTTAATTTATTATCTCCTCCTAACATTTCTCAGGTTCCTAAGGTTTCTCAACTGTAGTTAAAGAGCAGCTTGGGAGGACCCAAGAATTTGCAAAATCAGTTATTAATCTCTAGAAGTGACTCCTTAAAAGCATTCCAAAAATCCTACATTGTTCTTTATTAACAATATGAACCGGAGAATGATCCTGCCTACGCTAATTAATGCCAGAACGCTTCACAAATTCCATCATGGCAGCTACACAATTTTGGGTTCGTTTGTTGGTTTTCTCGGTACTTCCTATTTTAAGCATTTAATTGTTGAATTCCCTGGCAGGCACCAGTGACAAATGTTGTCAACTCAGCACCGACTTTTTGTTCCTCTCCTCCAAAGGCTTGCAAACCTACGGGACCTGGTGGTCTGCCAAGAATGTGATGCTTAGTGGCTCTGTAAACACCGTCTCACCCAAAAGCTGATTAATATATGAGGCTGCGGAGGCTGTTTTACGATCAAAGCTAGTACTCCAGTCTGATTCTGATAAACTATATGATAATGAGATTAAAGAAAACACAGTTAATGCAGCAAATTGTTTGGGGAAAGTATGATCAAATGTTGCATAACTCTCTCATTCCATTATTATGAGATCTGTCTCCAGAGAGACCGCATTCAAAGGAAGTGTCTAATGTCTCTCATGAGACAATCAGTTGACCTTTTAAATTAACAATTTCTTTTTAATCAGAGATTTTAAACTGAAGGATATGGCTTTCTGCAACAGAGGCAAATGCAGCACTGATTTCCTGATCTAGTGGCAAAAGGAAAAATTCTCACGGACAAAAGAGAAAGCAAAGAAGGAATTCTCCAAACTGGGGGTGGGCACATAAGGGTGGATGTGTCTTGGGCTACATAAAGTCCTTTAGGTTAATTTTAAATTCTCTTTGCTAGAATTAATTTAAATAATTGGAAAGAGAGACCTGTCCCTCTGCTAAAGGCCAGAGGGAAAGAGGAAGGACTATGGTCCTTGTCAAGATTTTCACTATTAATTATCTTCTATTGCAGGGGACCCCAACCCACTACTGGGCCTTCAGCCGCTTGGAACAGGGCTTTGGAAGTGGTGTGTGAGTGTGCACGTGCACACTCCACTTGCATGAGCGACCGACATACATGCCCACTGCTCACGCTGAATCATCCCCCTGCTAGTCCGCAAAGGTGGAAAGGCCGGGGAACTGTTCTATTGCTCCACGGAGAAACTATTATTTATGTATTTATTTATAAAACTGACTTTCATCTTAGTTCAAGGTAAGTCCGGGTGACTTATAATCATAAATACATCAGGCAACTAGTTCTTGGAAAAGAAAAAAGTAGCTTCAGCTTCATTCAGAAGTCAATCCTTGCCCTTAATCATATATTAATCTGGGAAGTATGAATGAAGCAGACGTGTTTTGGATTCTGCTCACTGTTTTTCATCCCATCTCTCAACAATTACTATCTAAACTATGGAGTGGTTCTTTGGAGTAGTCGGCCTGCATTCTCCTGATATGTCTCAACTGCAACTCTTAGCCATCCCAGACAACATGGCTGTTAGTGAGGGATATTAGAAACAACAGTGCCAGACCATCTGGAGAACTATAGGTTCCAGCCACTCCTGAAAGAGTATAGTTGAAGAGAAATTTAATTATGGATTATGAACTGCAGCTCAGGCTGACTTCTAGCGCATCCAGCTCAGAAACCAGTGCAGTATCTATTTAACTCTAGGTCCCTGGATGTGATTGACTCACCAACTGAAGTGAAAATAATTTGATAAACCCACGATTTACCACAATGACAGATACAGATTTACTGTGTGGCTATATACCTCTTAAAATCATAAAACAGATTTCGGTGCAAAGTCCATGTAACATTTGGCAAACTGTTCTGAGGTTGTTCTTTTTCTTTTTTTTGGCACTGTTATTTCAAATGAAAAAAAATGCATAAAAGTTAAACTGTTACCAGTGAGCAAACTCTGTCACTATTCCTTGCATCTGCCACAAGAGTATTCTCCAGCAAACGAAATATTGTTTTAAGAAAGAGTTAGATTACTTCTCTTTAAACGTTTCCGTCTGTCTTAGTAATGCTCTCTGTTTGATTTTCCAGACAATTTCTCCTATGATGAAAACTCGATAGAGTCAATACTAATTAAATGAAACCACGTCTGTAACAAGCCAATGCTCTAATGTACTTTTCTCATATAGAGTCTTTTTAATCAGAATTAAGGCATTTTACTTCCTCTTTAACGAACAGGAGGGAAAAATCAATATGTAGAGAGGAAAGCAACAGAACAGAGGTGGTTTCATAAAAAAAACAACATTCCTTTGCTTTATAGTTGAGAATATAGTTGAGAAAGCAATTCTGAAGAGACATGGAGAGGGATGGGCCTGGCCTCTGGCTATTTCCACTGTCTATTTGCTCCCACTTTTCCACACTGGATAGACATATCTACGGGGAAAACACCTGGAAGCTCCTGAAGACAGGTGGTCCTGTGATAATTTGAAAATATGTAAAACAGAATATAGCAAAACCTACTATTTCGGGTTCTTTCACAGTTGATCTAAAACCAAACTTGGAAGGGGTGCGGGGAGAAGAGGATGAAAAAAGGAGATTCATAAGCATTTAGGGATATTGTACGGTGGCCATTTTTTTCAGAACGTGTCATCTTAGGTAGTATTACTAGCTGTTCTTATCAATTAACAGCCAGTCACCAAAACAGAAGTTATAACTGAAGACACTTTTTTAAATTTGAAAAAATTTAAAACAGAAATGAAAGTCAAGTTCTCATCAGGACATCTACAGAATTTTCTTGCTGGTTTCTTTAAAAATGTGTTAAATTTGTTTTTATTTCAAAATAAGCCTATTATAGTCATTTCAAAAAGAAAACAGAACAGGTAATGTTTCTTGTTTTTAGCTTGTGTTAATTTTTGTAATTTTAATCCATATTTATATTTATAATCATTTGAATGTTGTTTTTTTTTAAATCTTGTTGTAAGCTTCTCAGAGTTGCCTGAACTGTGAGATGGATGGCAAATAAATTGGACAAATAAATAAATAAAATGTGGAAAATCCAGTGGCTAATACAAGTAATCATAAACCACAGGTTAGTGTGGAAAGAACAGGCTGGCTCCTTTTCCCCTTTCAAGGCTTTCAGCGATAAGAGATAAACAGTAAACCTTCTGACTGCAATTAATTCAGTTCATCATGAAAACCACACCATAAATTGCAGTCAATATTAATAACGGTTAGTATAAATCTAGCACTGTATAATTAAGTCTGGCCATAGTTTGTCTGGTTTGGATAACATATTGAGTTATAGTAAAACATAAATGGAAATTTAAAAAAAACTGGCAAACAAAAAAGGAGGAGGCAGCGGTGGCAGCAAATGAGTACGTATCCAAGATCTACACAGGCTTAGTACTTGTCACGACAAACCATGGTTCACATTGCCTGAAATATAGCAGTCAAGAAAATCCTGCAAAAAAAAATCAATCCCAAATACATGCAGTATATAACATACCAAAGATCTGTTATTTTCAAGTAGCCGCGTCTTTTGTAAATGGCTACTTTCTACTATTTCATTGCGCTAGTGATTTTACGTACCACATCCGGGTTGAGCCTGAAGGCCAAAGGAAGAGAATAAAATAAAGAACGAATGGTGGTTAGCAGTGAAGAGCTCCAGGACTGACGGACCTCCCGACTTCTGGGAATGCGATGGAGGGCAAACTGTAATTCCTGGGGAGAATTAACAGATTTGCAGATAAGAATCATTTGGGTAGTACGGTAAACATTATTTCCTGCGCTATAAAACACTCAGCTATATAAACAGTGATAGATAAAGAAGACATTCTAACTTAAACGGGGCTCCTGCTTTATTTTCGCTGCATTCCAGCATGAGCCACAAGAGATAATTCTGCAAAAAACTTAAAAGGAGACAAGAATCCACATTGAAGTTCCCTTCCCTCCTCCCAAAACGCATGGAAGGAATCTCAGCTAATTTAAGACGACCTTTCTAATTCAAAGGTGAATTTCTTTGAAAAAAGAAACACATCTTCCTTTTGGGTAAATAAAATAACAATACATGCTGAATTTCTTGTGGGCCCAGACTTTTCCTTTCTTCAAAGCAGCATTCACGAAAAAGCCTTTTGGTAAAACCTTGAGAAATATAGAGCTAGGAAGCATAGACCAATCTTATATTTAACGGCTCATTTTCAACTACCATTTCATTGGTACCAGTATTGTCTCTATAGGGAGTGATCAGACTGGTATCTCCTGCTGTTTGCTTAATTTCCACAGGTTAAAAAAAAATATATCCTGCATCAAAGTCCCTTCCAACCTTATGATTCAGTTTCTCAGAAACTTATTACAGTAACTCCCACAGCTTTCTTGGCAGGAAGCTATGTTTGCTTTTTTGGTAGACTATTTCATTTTCTATATGACCATGGAGGCTGTGACCTTTCCTGTAGCTATCATGCAACCAGCCTCTCCAGGTTACTAAAAACAAGTAAGTTTTGGAGCGCTTTTGAGGAGGTTGGCATAGATGTATCACACAGCGCTAGATCAAGTGCCCCACCTGGTGGACGTTAGTAAGACTTCAGCCTTTTCTTCCTATATTTGTTTCATCCAAAGATACACGCCTAAAATCAAGGAACTGTATTTGGTTATCTCTGAGCAGACACTGAGCTTAAGAATTTGTTTTCAGAACTGAATTCAATCTTTCAGGGGAAAAAAAGTCTAATCTGGGTTACTTTGAAATTTCATGTCAGCAACCTCCTCTCTCCCCCCCCTCTTCGCCCCCCCACATCTATATTCATGTCTGTTTGTGTATCTACCAATCTAAATCTATGAGCAATTATTGTAAAATACTTTGGGAGTTTAAGATCTTGTTGATTTATTACAAATAGCTCTGTAGTTTCTGATCTACACTTTAGCCCGCTTCTGGGTTAAAGATATGAAATTAAATCTGCAGTTCATACCCTCTTAGAAGTACCTGTCAAGCTTTGAACACTACTTGACATTAATGTTTAATAGATGATCTTAGATTTGTTTCAGGCAGATATCCACAAGTACAAAACAAACCCACGTCAAAACACCCTTTGTATCTTTTTGCAATCAGGCCCAAAACAAATCAAGCATATAATAACTGTGTCAGAGCAAACCACCAAACCATCCTTTATTACCCAAGATCTAGCCTAGGAAAGCTCCAGAATAATCATCACATAGTTTAGGGGTGTCAAATTTCCGGCCTGCGAGCCCGTCATGCCGAAACCGCACCCGCCCCAGCTCCGGCAATGGGGAAAAAGTCATGATATGTCGCGACACGTCACGTGACGTGGCGAGTTTCACACCCCTGACATAGTTGATAGCCCCATGAGACAGGTCTCTAGTCTTCTGTCTATATCATTTCCAGCTGATCAGAGGAAAATGCCCATCAGTGCCCTGCTCGTTAAGTTGTTCTTCCTGCAGAAGGTACTTAGGGACCATCAACATTCAAAAGCTGTCCTGGAGACAGTAGCCCTCTTTAGCCTTGCAAAAAATGTATCTTTTTTGGATTGTTAGTTGTGTTTTTGTTTTTTTCAGAGGTAAAATAAAGAGAGTTACAACCATAAATGAGACTGGCAATTACAGTGTAAATTGTGATGGTTGGAAAGTGGGTCATCACATGACTGGACTCAGTTTTACCACCTTTTTTAGTGGTGGTTGTTAAGCAAATGTGATGGTCTTAAAGCAAACACCATGATTGTTAAACAAACCCATTGTTCACTATGGGACATTTTTCCCCCAGAAAGCAGAAGTAAACACCAGCTTCTGGAGAAATGTCACATATTGCAGTCACATGACTGCAGACCGCTGTAAACAGCTCTAAATATGAGCGAGTTGCTGAGCGCCCAAAATGCAATAATGTGGCCATTGAAAAAGGTCCTGGACGTCATAACTTCAGAACTGAGTCGTAAGTATGGGAGGGTTTCCTTCATAACTTTGAAAGTCACTAAGTGACCAGTCATAAGTCAAGGACTATCTGTATCAAAGGAATGTTGCATTTAGACAATTATATTTTGACTATTTGTCATTAAATTGCTTTCAATTTTGATTCCCCTGGAAAAGAGGCAGGCCAAGGGCCACACTCAAAAATGGGTAGGTTTAGATCAAAAGGAACCCAATCGCTTTAAATTAAAAAAAAAAATTAAATAATTCACACACATTCCTAACACAGACACTTTTGCCTTCATATTGTGAAGTAATTTTCACATGTTACTACTACTCCACTTCAGTTTGGGTTTAAAAAGTAATTTAAAAAAGAATTTATTTTCCCCCAACTTCACTGCAGGTGGCAGCATGCATCCAACTTTAGTTGATTGAAAATGCTAAACCAGGATTAGATTTAGTTGCTACTTGGATTGGTAATTACCAGCACTGAAGACTAGATAGGGAAGTTGAAAAAGCATTTCAGGAGAATTTTTCACCTTCATTCCCCCCTCCCACACACACATTCATAGCTTCCACTGGTTTAAAATCAGAATGTGTACACATTATTTACAGCGGTAACTTATTTCACGATCAGTAGAGGGTGCTATGACACTATGACATTGAGACTTATACTCAGGGAGAGGCCCCAAAATTTTATGAGTCAAGAAAAAGAAAAAAGAAAAAAACCAAGGAGATTTAAAAAGCAGAATCAAAAGGAACACCCAATAGTGAAGGGGCATGAAGAAGGAACAGGCAGAGCAAGCAGGATAAGAAAGGACAATTAAGAGAGAGGCAGAGAAAACAAAGTGATGAAAAAGTAAACAAGTATCTGCAAGAAAACCACCAAGCTCAGAGATATTCAACTAGGTTGAATATCTTTCATACACTAGAATGGGTAGTCCGCTGTTCTGAAATAGGAGTTCTCTCCTTGATTTTTTTTTGCCCAAATGAATAGAATAGAATAGAATAGAATAGAATAGAATAGAATAGAATAGAATAATTTTATTGTCACTTTGAATGTACACTAATCGGCATACATTAAAATGAAATTTAATTAATTCAATTTGTGTTCTCGCTCAAAGTAGCAGCAGATTAACTGAAGTTCATGATTGGAAATGCAAGTATTTATATGCACCACATGTGGGGAATCCCATTTTGGAAGACCCATTTCATCTCCTTTCACACAAAAGATTAGATTGGGTTTCCATTAATTAGATTGCTATCAATAGCTACTAGTCTTGACGATGCTATGGCTTTCTAGAATCACAAGCACCCTGCTTCAGGTAATCAGTTGCTGTACAGCAACTATGGAAGTGACTAATGCCCATCTGTCTTCCTGAATTTATTATTTTATTTATTAAACAAATTTATATAACCACCCAACTCACACACAATGACTGCTTGACTACTGCCAGACACAAAATGCTAGATTGCTCAGTTTATATAGCAATCATCTAAATATTCTGAAACCTACATTTTCCTCTCTTTATGTAATTCAACTATTTTTTTATTATTATCTTTTACTCGTTAAACATGAACCTCAGTCAACTGAACATTCAAATTGGCTGGCGCTGATGGTTGACACGGGTTGCTATCAGCATCCTAGGTGTCAACCTTTATTATTATTATGATGATGATCATCACACACTCAGCCAGATGTTCAGACTGGATTTGACATTTTGTCTATCGAGTCCTTAGCAAGGCAGACGTGGATGTTTGATGGTATTACAGATATCATTGCAGGATGGAAACGGTTCCTAGTAAGGCCGCCTTTTGCAATTGACTAATGGTGAATTTGTCAATGCCAATGGTGTTCAAGTGGTGCTCCAGTTGTTTTGGGATTGCACCCAAGGCACCTATTACTATTGGTACTACCCTTGCTTGCTTTTGCCACAGTCTTTCTATTTCTATTTGTAGGTCTTTGTATTTTGTTATCTTCTCCAGCTCTTTCTCGTCTATTCTGCTGTCTCCAGGCACTGCCACTGCCACTGCCCACGAATCCAGACTTTTTTGTCTTTCTTATCGACAATTGTTAAGTCCGGGGTGTTATGTTGCAGGTGCTTGTCTGTTTGAATTCTGAAGTCCCAGAGCAGTTTAATTTTATCATTTTCTATGACTTTCTCTATTTTATGATCCCACCGGTTTTTGCTTACAGGCAAATAATATTTCTTGCAGATCTTCCAATGCACCATTGTTGCTACTTTGTCATGCCGCTGCCTTCATATTATTATTATTATTATTATTATTATTATTATTATTATTATTATTATTATTATTATTATTATTATTATTATTATTATTATTATTATTATTATGGCTAAGTAACAGGACAGGGAGAGAGTAAACCTTTTTCTGCTTCAGTGCAGGAAAATACAGATCTCCAAACAATGAGAGAGAGAGAGAGAAAAGCTCTAGTACCTCAAAGGGAACAAAATCTCCATTTATTTATTTTTTTATATCAGAGAAAGAAGTGTAATGAGGATCAATTATTTAAGTTCTCATCAGGATCACAATCCTTAGAATTTGACAAGTAATTAGAGTAGACAAGTAACTGGGGTGGCCATAGGAAAGCAGTCTCATGCAGTACAAAACCCTACAAAAGACAATGGTCAGAGACAATCTCTGCTAAACAGGAAGCAAACACAAAAGTGTTTCAATAAAAATGGAAAGTCAGTCCAATAGAAACATAGCTTTAATGTTCTTGGCCTTTTGTTACCTCGAACTTCTTAGATAGTTAGGACAGAATACAGGTTGTCCTCGACTTACAACACAGTTCGCTCAGTGACTGAAGTTACAACGGCACTGAAAAAAGTGACTTACGATCATTTTTCACACTTACGACCATTGCAGCATTCCCCCCATGGTCCCGTGATTTGCATTTGGATGCTTGACAACTGACTCACATTTATGACGGTTGCAGGGTCCCAGGGTCATCACCGTTTGCGACCTCCTGACAAGCAAAGTCAAGGGGGAAGCTAGAATCACTTAACAGCCGTGTTATTAACAACGGCAGTGATTCACTTAACAAACGTGGCAAGACAAGTCATAAAACAGGACACTTAACCAATTTCTCACTTAGCAACTTAAATTTTGGGCTCGTATAGTCAGGATTGTAATATACACATATTAAACTCCACTCTTCTTTCTGATGTTTTATCTATTTGTTAAATTTATTTGCCACCTATCTCACCACGGGGCTACCGTAGGGCAGGGGTAGGCAACTTTGGCTCTTTTATGACTCGTGGACTTCAACTCCCAGAATTCCTGGCTCAGGAATTCTGGGAGTTGAAGTCCACGAGTCATAAAAGCAGGGCTTTTTTTCTCATAGAACGCCCAGAACGGAGTTCCGGCACCTTTTTTGGATGGGACCTTGTAGGGTAGGCAAGGCGGGTTGTATGACGTGTGTGAGTTCCGGCACCTTTTTTTTTTTAAGAAAAAAAGCACTGCATAAAAGAGCCAAGGTTGCCTACCCCTGCCCTAGGCAGTTTACAAAAATAAAAAGGAAGAAATGAAAAGAGTATGTTTTTCTATAATTCTACATGGAAAGAGATAAAAGGATTTTATTTTGGGGGGGGAACTTCAATCCACCCACCTCAAGCCTCCCAGTTTATCTTCACTGTAGAAGCAGAATTGGGAATTAGCTATGTCCCATATTAATTCAAGCAGGAAAGAAGTGCTGGCAAAACTGTAAGGAGAACAAGCTTGGATGTGTGCTGAATCAGGTACAAAACTAGAACCGTCCGTGTGACATCCTATTCCACCGGCCTGCTAGATAAATACACACAAGGGTTTCTCAATCTATCAGTCTTGAAATGCGTTGGAAGGGTTTGTGTAGTCTTCAGCCAGAACGGCCAAAGGCCGTGCTTGCCCAAAGGATTAGAGCAGTTGGAATCCAATTCACCTGGAACTCATCAGGTTACAGTAGTCTGGGCTAAACATCTGCTAATAGTCACGCTGGTGGATTATAGATGTCTAGCGCTTCTATGAAGCATCAGGCCGGAGAACGTAATTTTGAAATGTGGCTACCAATCTTATTGCTAATAAAAAAAACATCATAATGCCAGGACACAAATGTAATTTTCTGCTTATGCTGCAGGCATATTCCATGTATCTCCAGGGTGAGTAATCCAAACAAATTAAACAATGAAGTTGGAAGGGCTAGAAAAGCATTATTTGAGGGAAAACATTCTAAGCTCCTGTCTCTATGTAAAGCCACCGCAAGAGAGGGCTCACTTTATGTTCTGTGGCTGAACAGGATAGTTGAGCCCTAAACAAATGTGGGGTTGCTTTGGATTGGAAACTGATCTCTCCTGTACTGGTGCTCTGGTGCTTTTGGGTTTGCACATTATGCTAATTTATCTTGTGAATCGTGAAGTTTGAACAGAGCCAGAGAATAATCCTACATAGTCTACTTGGACTCACTGAGTTCAAAGGGACATTATCTCCAAGAAATGGATATAGGATTGCAACCTTGTGGTTTGGAATACTTCCTACGGTTCCCTTCCCTTCCCCATGAATAATGAAATACCACTGGGAAACAAATTGAAGTATATAAAAGATTATAGCTACAATCCCTCTATCCTGTTCTCCACCCAACCCCACTCCTAAAAAAAAACAAAAAAAACAGAGCAATTTAAGTTCCGGCAAATGTTTCACTTTGGTCTGGAAATTTTAAGAAAAAAAAATATCTGAAATATGTTTAATGGATTATCTCAAGAATCTTAAATACACAATGAGAAAAAAGCAATGAGCAATTAATGGAAATTATTCATGAGTCAGTTCAACAATGCAAGACATTGCAAACCCCCAATGCTTAACCAATCTGTTCTGATGCTTAGGCTATGTCACTTTTAACTTTCTTTTTTTATTATTGATAGAATAAAAGCAAGCATATCTCAGGCTTGTGGAATCTTTTTATTTTATGAGAACCCAAGATTTGTCCAGCAGTTTGATAAAAAAAAGATATACACTTGAACTATGGAGTATTAAGCCCAGGAAATTATTTTGAATAACTGGACTGACAGAACTGAAGGTCTCTCCTTACATAACTCTACTTTTATTTACTATTTTCCCCTTCATTTCAGTAATATAATTAATATAGAACTGTATTACTTATTTTCTAATGATTATACTAGATAGCTGACAGTGAAACAGCAGGGCTTTTCAACCTGTTCACCCATTGTACCACTTTTAGGATATGGCAACATCCGAGTACCATCAGTCGCTTAGCAAGGTATCAAAAACTTGATGACCCTCCCCAAAAAGGAAAAAAGTGATAAAGTACAGGTAGTCCTCGACTTACAACAGTTCGCTTAGTGACTGTTCGAAGTTACAATGGCACTGAAAAAAGTGCCCCCCAAGCCACAGCCAAGCAAGACACCTGCCTGCCCGCCCGGCTGCACTCTTCCTCCTGTCCGAGGTTTTCATTGTTGTGAGCATTTCTGTTGAGAATTGGCAGCGGGGATGGGGTGGGGGGTGTTTGGTTTTTATTCCCCCCGTCTGCTGGGTGCTTGCAGCACATTTTGGTCACTTCACATGACCCTGGGACACTGTGACCGTCATAAATATGAATCAGTTGCCAAGCATCTGAATGTAAATCACAGGACCCTGGAGATGCTGCAACATTCCAGCTGATCGGCGCTTCTTCAGGGCTCAGCAGAAGTGCCAGGATTAGCGTCGAGCTCCAGCTGGAGCCTGGCGCTGATCCTGGCGCTTCCACTGAGCCCTGACAGTCCCGAAGAAGCGCTGATCCTGGCGATTCTGCTGAGCCCTGACAGCCCTGCAGCTCCAGCCATTTCTCGCTCAGGCTTGTGCGGTGCTGCCACCGGTTCAGCTCATTCCCCTCCCCTGCTACCACTTTTCTAGGATGGTCACATACCACCTGCCAGGTGCCAATGTACCACAGGTGGTACCCGTACCACTGGTTGAAAAGCCCTGCTATAAGGTAGTCTGGACAAGAAGCACAACCAGAAGCATCAGCACTATTTTTAATATAAGGTTACATTAAACAGAATCTTGCAAGACTGAAAAAGTATTTCACCTTTGCTCTATTTTTAATCTCTGGAAAACTAGGGCCAGTTCCCTTCCCCACCTGTGGACTGAGCCGTGGTGGTATGGTGGCTAGAATGTAGTATTGCAGGCTATTTCTGCTGACCGCCAGGAGTTCGATCCTCACCGGCTCAAGACTGACTCGGCCTTCCATCCTTCCGAGGTCAGTAAAATGGGATTGTTGGGGGCAATATGCTGACTCTGTAAACCTTTTAAGAGAGTGCTGTAGTGTAAAGCACTGTGAAGTGGTATATAAGTCTAAGTGCTATTGCTATTGCTCTTATCATACAGCTCAGCTCATCTGTGGGTCTTCCTCTGTCTCCCAAGGTCATTCCCACACATCATCGCAACATCTTCCTGATGAGTCAACAGAAGATCTACATCTATCCTTGGCACATGTCCCGTGCTAGTAATAGTCTAGCTCAGAACAGGGGTAGGGACATTGTTTTCAAGCAATTATGCTACAGGGCTTCATGCCACTAGCCAGGTTCAAGCATGTAACCCCCTAACATGTTTGTTTGAAGTTTCACCCATAGCTTATTCTAAATTGTTCCCATCTTCTAGGCTTTAGGGAGTATTTTAAATAGCTCCCATGAGTATTGACTGTTGCTGTTTGGAAGCTTCACTGCACAGTGAAAGGTGGAAGAATAAAGGGGATCCTTGAGAAAAGGATTTGTGTTAGCAACCTTTTCAAGAAAATGATCTGTTCTCGTGAACTTCAGAAGAAATAGAAAACCTCACTCCATTTGGCCTGGAGATCAGACATATCCCATCCCAATGCATGCAGACAATATGGATTAGAGGTATAAGACAGACCCAACAGTCCAACATTGGTAACTTTAAGACCTGTGAACTTCAACTCCAGAATTCTCCAATCAGCCATGGGGGAGAAATCCATCATTCACAAGTCTTAAAGTTGCCAAGGCTGGACATCCCTGTTCTAGAAAGACAGATGTACGGTGTTATTTTATGTTTGGAGGATACAGATGCTTCAAGATTATCTCAAAGCCAGGTCCCTTCCTCTGGAGTTAGTGCTTAGTGAAGCTTTCTCTGGCCTGCACGGAAGGCTCCCAAGTTAATGAGAAAAGTGAAAAAATTTAGGGATGGAACTTTCAGTGCAAATTGGGAAACCTTACAGTATTTTAGCAGGAAATGTGACATTAATATTTAATAAAATATGAACAATTAGAAAAATAGGTATGAAAACTCACCGAGGAATCGGGGTATTTAGCAGCTCTTTTTTCTTCAAAAGAATGGATTTTTTCTTCACTCATCTTATCTGAATCGGCCAAAACATAATGCCTGGGAGAATATTTCTTGGAGAGGCTGTTAAGCAGCCTTAAGATTTCTGTAGTATGTCCTCCTGAAAAATACACAATCAGAGTTAACCTCTGCAAGTTACACTGACTTTAGCGTGAGAATTTGATTTCATCATTCTGTTGATTTACCTCCAACAGGCTTAGCCCTTTTGTTGGCTGGATTTTACACACCATACTTATCCACAATCGACTTAAATACAGTTTCCTTAATAACCCAATTCTTTCTTTTGCTTGACCACTGAACTGTAAACTAACCACAAGGGCTTGACCAACAAGCTAAACTATGTTGTTGGTTAGTTTGTGGTTTACTACAATGTCTAGAACAACAAGGCCAGGCAAGTAATAGTTGCCAGTGTCTCCAGTTACTCACCTGTCCCTTTCCACTCCAATTCTGTTTACTAACACATTGTTTTGGGCTAATGGAACAGAATGACTGGACCAATATTATCTGCACCACAGGAAATGGAGAGGTTGATCATCTTGCCTGTTTTATTTCACTGTGGAGGTGCGGGGGAGAGAAAGGAAGAGAAAGCAAGAGATGGCAAAGTAGATTTTCCTTGGTTCACCGTCAACTTACTAAGTGGTGTAGAACACTAGTCAATTCAAAGAGGCAGGGCAAGTGAATGCCCATGTAGTACTAAGCTGTAATTTGTTTTGCAGAGAGACAGTGCAAGCGAATGCCAGTGTAGTGCTAAGCTGTGGTTTGTTTTAATCAGATTGAGTCAATTATGTTGGTTTAGTGTGACATCAAACAAAACTATCAACCATGGTTTATAAAGGGCAAAGTCTGGGTTTAGCTATGCTGAATCAAAATCAAACAAACCATATTTGATACAGGGTGTGAATTTTACTAGCAAGTATGAAAGAGTTAGCTGCTTTTTTTCTCTCCCCAGCAAGAAAAGAGGACCAAATACCAGCCAGAACACTGTTTTGATGAAAATTCTCCCTGTCTCAATGTAAGAGAGTAGAGGTAGGCTATCTTTTCCTTATGGGTTTTCCTGCTTCCCAACCTCAAGAGAAAGGCAATGGTAATAGTTTTCAAGGGCTTTATTGTAGGGTTGCCAGGTCTGCTTCCCAAAAATAGCGGACAAGGGGGGGTGTTAAGTAGTAAAAAAAATAGACTGTACAGCTTTAGATTACGTACCATTTCATCATAAAGCTTTTGAATAAAAAAAATGTCCACTATTTTGTGAAAAAAAATAGTGAACATAATGTGAAAAAAGTGGACTGTCCACTCAAATAGTGGACACCTGGCAACCCTACTTTATTGTTTTATAATTTTGGCTGCAGAGCAAAGAAAAAGCAGACTAGGATTCACTCTGCTTTCTTTTACAACAGAAGTGGCTATATTAAATATTCTTTTTCAAATACTTAGGCAGGTAGAGCTACTTCTACTGAGATGCCTGTAATATTTCCATCAGACTACACCAGGCGTAGGCAACCTTGGCTCTTTTATGACTCGTGGACTTCAACTCCCAGAATTCCTGAGCCAGCCATGCTGGCTCAGGAATTCTGGGAGTTGAAGTCCACGAGTCATAAAAGAGCCACGGTTGCCTACCCCTGGATTACACCAAAGAACCAGGGTTGGTCTAAAACTGGGGACATCCAGGTTCAGATTACCCCGGTTCACGCTAATCTCACGCTATTAACAATTATTGTCAAGGAAGAACTAAGCCTTACGATTGGAATTAAGAATTAAAATCACGAAGGGAACTGTGATATTCTGCCTCTAAAATATTAGCCGGAGAACCCCTGAATCCTCTCTAAACGTATCACCCAATTCCAAGCCATTTTTCTTCAAAGAAACTACAACGTCCAGCATGTCTAGCAAGCACAGTAAATCAGCAGCAAGAACGCCTCCTTTCTGTAGCGGCTGCTTTGCTTTCTGGGTAATGTAGTCCGGATGGCCACGCCTACCCTGTGATAATTGACTGTTTCTAGCTTTTTGTCTTACCAGAACCGGCAACCACCAGGAGTTTGACGTCAGCATTAAGAGAGACAAGGCGTCGCTTCACAAACCGCAGGACGAAAAGAATCAGCAAAGGGAAAAAGAAGACCGAGACGCCCAGCTTTGCCCAAAACGACCATTCCATATCCAGGCCGTCATTCGATAAAACTCTACAGTCGTGTAGGAAGCTGGAGGGGAATTACGGGAGCCGAAGCAGTTCAAAATATTGCAGAAACGTTTTGCTGCTCGTTCATCAAAGTGTTTTCGTCACCGTTCTCGGTTTTGTTTTGTTTTTTGCAAGCGTTGATTGTGTGTAACTGCAATGCTCGTTTCAAAAAAAAAGGAAAGAAAATATTTCCTAAATTAATAAATAGATAGTAGACTAGAGCTTAGGGTTTTGGTTTTTTTAGGTGTACGACAGATGTGCTTTTTCGCTTAACTTATGATGAGAATGGCAATGACCACTTTTGTGTTCTGTGGTATTTTAATGGAATAAAATTTAAAAAAAAACTTGTTATGAACATAAGACCGAAGAAGGTTCATTTACTAGAAATGTAAGAGAGTTGAACCTTCCTAGTGTGTCGTTTTGTTTTGTTTTTTTGCTAGGCAATATTGACATATATTAAACACTGCACATACTGTTGTATCCCAAATTATTTATAATTTACAAGTTACATGAAATGGATTGTGGATACATTGACTTCTTTTTTAAAATATAATGCCAAGGTGCCACATGATGAAAGTTCATCATGATATCATTGTACAAATATCATAATTACATATTTGTATCAAACCCCGTGTTCCAAATACAGGTGTAGCAATTGAATCATAATGTCACTCCAGGTGTGTTATTTTTGGTGCCATTGTGATTTGCTGTAGACCCTGCTGTTTGGGATGCCACTAAAATATTATTTTATATTGATGAAAAATCTGTATCTGATCTAAAAGCCTGGATGGAAGACATGCGTTCACTTCCTCTCCATAAATTGGCTTTCTATCAACTTTGTGGAAAATCTGATCATAATTTGGTCTGGTTAATATTTTTCTTCTTTTTGTTTAGACATTAAAATAAATCTGTAATAAATTCAAATATGTTTAAGGAACAGCCTTCCTCTGAATATATAAAACAGAGCAATCCAACACCAGAACTTTTGGCCCACTCCAAATTTTTCAGCAGTGCAATTACAAAATTATCTGGATTATCTGGAACAGGAAGTGCTTTGTGGTGTTCAGAACATCTCTACTTAATACCTCTTCTTCACAAAAAATCTACAACATACAAACGTATGAAAGCAGACATTTTAATGCATCTTAATAGCTGATCAATGAAAGCTTTGCTAGACATGAACATTTCAAATGAAGTAATTTAAACTATATGCCTGAAATGCAGCCGTTATCAACATTTTTTGGTGTGTTAGGTTGGATTTTTATTGTCCTTAGCCAGGTTAGTGAGAGGAGTTGTCATGTTGTAATGAGAGAGAGAGAGGGGGAGAGGGAGAGACTCATGCTGTAGTATCTTCCATAGCCAAGTGATGATTATATAATGATGTAATGATCCATAACTATATACCAGTGGTGGCGAACCTATGGCACGCGCCGTCGTCCCAGTCCTAGGCCTTCAGCTGGGTTTTATAAAACCTTTTCGCTTTAGGCCTCTGTCGTGTGCAAAAAAAAAAAAAAGGTTAAATCAATCAGTCAATTTCAACTTCTCACGGGGAAAAAAGAACTTGCAAAGTTGGAATTGATTGATTGAACTTTTTAATCACATCCAGTCTGCCGTTACCACCGCAGCCATGCCCACCCAATGGGCAGCGCCCACCCAATGGGCCACACCCACCCAATGGGCCACACCCACCCGGCACCCGACGATGCATAAGTGGGTTTTGGGTTGCAGTTTGGGCACTTGGTCTCTAAAAGGTTCGCCATCGCTGCTATATACTTTTATCTTAGTATAGTATTTTAAGCTTTAAACCAGAGTCCCATAACTGATGCTATGAAGCTACATGACCCACCTTGAATGCCTCAGGTGCGGCCCCAGAGCTCTCCAACACTTGCTATTGAAATGTTATCTTTAAGTTACACATCCCAGATATTATTAAATGTGAGAGAATTAAATCTTTTAAATACATTTAATTAAAATTAAATACATTCCATTGTAATTAATGCATTGAAATATTGTTTTAATTAAGCCCAGCTTTCGTTTGGAGTGCTCTACTTTTTTCTCTCAGTCTTCTATTTCAAGGTCCAGGGTGACTCTTGGCTCAAAGAACGAATGTACCTTTTCCATGAGCCTGTAATTTATACTTTGCAGTGGAAAATCTTTGCAAATCCTTAACTGAGTCTGAAGCGCTGGGTGAGGCTTAATTTGTACCTTCTCTCAATAATCTTGAAAAACAGGGACTAGAAAATTAGAAATAGGCTTTCAGGCTGACTTTAAGTTCCTGTTTCTGTTGGTGTAGCACAAAGAGCACTGCTGCCGAAAGAGGATACTTTTGCTTGTCTACATGATGTTTAAGGGCCCAATTTGCCAATATATTTTTATGCACAAAATTAATGTGAAGTGGTAAAAAATGTTATCTAAAAATGCAATTACATTTAAAATGTAAATGTCATAGAGCAATGATGGCGAACCTTTTAGAGACCAAGTGCCCAAAAACTGCCCCTGCCCCGCTCCACCCCCTGCCCCTCCCCGCTCCACCCCCCCTCCCCTGCCCCGCCTGCTCGCAGGGCCACTCACCACCTCCAGGGCCCGCCTCAGATCGCCCAGGCAGCCCAGCAGCGCTATGGTGGTCACGCCCCTCTGCCCGCGCCCTGCAGCATCACAATGGGGTGTGAGGGCAGAGTCTTGTCTACGTTTCCTGGCTGCCATGTCCTTGGCTGCGCTGCTCCGCGTGGGCCTCGCTCAGGGGCGACTCTCCTTCAGGGGGGCTGCTGGAGAGGGGGTCGCAGGGGGAGGCGAGGCTGGGGCAACAGTACGTGTGTCCCACAGAGAGGGCTCCGAGTGCCGCCTCTGGCACTCGTGCCATAGGTTCGCCACCACTATCATAGAGAAATGAGTTTGATTTGGATAGAATGTTTCATTCATTTGTTGCAGGGTATATGTTGTTATTATTTATTGTTAGCATTCATTAAATTTATATACCACCCATCTCGCTGTTTGGGGCAACTCTGGGTGGCTGTTAAACTGCTTTCAAATCATTCTCTCTTTTTCTACGGCTTCTGTCTCTATTATTTTCCCCAAACTGAAATTGTTCAATTGTCTTCCTCCCATATCTAGTAGTCTATAGATGAATTGCATTAAAACTTCTATAATGGCTACTCAACATGGTCCAAGATTGAGTGAGAATTTCAGGCATTATAATCCAACAGGGCATGAAGGGGGAGCTATTTTGCCTTTGTGAAGAGACATGAATTCTTTGATCATAATTTAGATTTCTAGAGTCCTTGATGATGCTTACAAGAGTTGAAAACTATGCAGTGTGTTAATATACCTGTTGATATGTATTGAACATTTCAGCTCTCATACCTTCTCCCATATAAATTGTATGCTTTGAACTGCAGACCTATGCAAACTATATTGAAATCCTATTCACTATGATAAGAGTAACCATGGGTAGGCTCAATTTTTATAGAAATCTATTATTAAGTGTTTTATGATGCCAGTAGCAACATTTCAGATCTTGAAATAGGGGAATGTTATCATTTATTCACTATCTCAACTTTTCTTCATTTTGTTGACAGTGCAGCTGCCTGTAGCGCTACGTAGGTAGACTTTGCCACAACTCTGTGTGTACATGCTCAGATGTGGTGTGATCTATGGATATTAGAATGTCATTAAAAGGAAAATCGGCATCCAGCCGAGGTTTCTTTTGATACTTTTCTCTTTTTCCTCCTTCAGATTGATTAAAAGGTACCTTAGTACCCCTGCTAGTTAACGTGTTTGATCAAACTGAATATGCAGCATGTGATTGACGCTTCTAAATGTAGTCCCTATCTGAATACAGTCCCCTCCCTGCCCATTGCATTAACTTTGATCCCTATCCACAGATTTCTTTGGATTGTGATAGACAGAGCAACAGTAGTTTTAACAATATGGGGCTTTAACAGTACCCACAGCTCTCTGACAGCAGGCAGCATTGATAAATGATGGATGAGAATGATCCTCATCTTCAAAGTGATCTGTTCCTTCAGACCTGGCATGTTATTTGTGGAAAAATACGAGTAGGCTGTGCTTTCAGCCAGTTTCTCTGCTCCTGCTTTTCTGTATCAGCCCTAAGGCCTGGCCCCTATTGCTCTGTTTCTTTCCTTATCTGTGCTATAAATGTACCAACCACATTCAACCTCTTTGGTGATTAAAATGCGGCTCTCACTTACTGAACATCTGGTGGATTTAAATTTTTCTGGTACCAGAGTGTGTGCGCCTAATAATCAAGCCCAATTATAAATCATTTAACATTCATGAACCTGGGACTATATTGTTCTCTGATTTAGTCTCTCAAACAGATCTCGTTTTTGTTTTTTCCCCATTGTTTTAATGAGAGTTGTCAAAATCTCTGATTCATAAAGTAGGTTATAAAACTTCGCAGTAGAATATAATTGCGCCTTGGGCATTAGCCTATATTTTGTGTATCTTCTTCAGATTTTATGTATTGCTTTAAAACAAGTTGGTATATGTATATAAGATGGGATGCATAGGAGCATGGAATTTTGGACCTAGAGGACCCTGTAAGGATCATCTTGGCTATGGAATTCCGGGAGCTGAAGTCCACATATCTTAAAGTTGTCAAGTTTCAAAAACACTGATCCAGTCTATGTAGGATCACTATGTACATATGTTGTACATAGTACGTTTAGGTGTGTGTCATGCATGTGTTTCACTTTGAGAACGGGCAACTAAATTTCATTTTTGATGTGTGCCGATGTGCCCACAGTAAAAAAATGACAATAAAGGTTACCTTACCTTACCTTACCTTATCTAGTCCAATCTGACATAATGTTCAAGAAAAATAGTACAGGTAGTCCTCGACGTATGATCACAATTAAGCCCAAATTTTTGCTGCTAAGCAAGACAATTGTTAAGTGTGTTTTGCCCGTTTTACAACCTTTCTTGTCACAGTTGTTAAATGAATCATTGGAGAGGTTAAGTTAATAACACAGTTGTTAAATGAATCTGGTTTC